TTTATTTCGGAACCTCTTCACGAAGTTTTCGACTGTCTCACCATTCTTCTGCTTCTCATCAAACAGAGTGCCGATTGAGACCTCAGTGTCGTCATCGAAGAAGTTCGTCAGAAACATACCCTCCATGTCGTCCCAACTGTTGACACTCCCTGGCTTGAGGCGACGATACCAATCGAAGGCCGCTCCGCGAAGAGTGCCAACGAATGACCGCACCATTAAGGGTTCATTGCCGGAGATCGTGTCCAAGTGGGACTTGAAGTATATTAGATGTTGGGTAGGGGAACCCTTTCCATCAAACGGCGTAAAGTTGATTAAATTGAACTTTGCCGGATATGGAATTGATTCCCACTCTCTTGGGTATGGACATGGTATGCCGGACCTTTTCACTTCTTGAGCATTCATCAACGCATTGATTTTGCTCTCCAAGTCCTTCATCTTCTTGTCTTCACTCGTACCTGTCTTCGAGTGGCTTTGGGGAGAGGTAACGTGGTCCTCTTTTGCATTATCATCCACGGGACCGCTTCCATTGTCGTTGTTGACAAGAGGGATATTTATGTTGACATTATTCTCTTCCCGTTCATTCTCATCTTGATTCTGATTATGGTGTCGAGTGGGTTCTCCCTGGTGACTTGTCAGAGCCGCGATTTGCTGGTCATGCATCTCTCTCATCTGCTGCATGGCCATCTCCATCTCGAACTTGAAACTTTCTTTCTGTCGAGCCAGGGCGTCTTCGAGCATCTTGTTTACTTGTTCGGCGCTGATCATGAGTACCTCGCGGGGTTGTCCCTCGCTAGATACCGTGTTGTCCGATGCAATTGCAGAGCCGGCATCTGATCCTTCGTCTTCTGACGGTGATCTCGTCCGAACCCTACTATAAGTCCCTCGTGTAATGGTTCCGGACTGCAGATGAGTTAAATACCAGGGTACTAGCGGAATTGACTCGGGATTATCTCCCATCGATGCCCTTTTGCTGGTCATATTAGTGGTGACCTTCGGAAATTCTCCGTCTTCGACTATCCTTCTTCTTCGTCGGAAGCGCCTAGGCTTAGTCTCAGACGTTCCGGTGGAAATTCTCTTGAACACCGAAACTCTCCTTGGGGCTTCAGAGCAACAGCATTCTGATAGCACCGCCTTGATGATGTTGGCACACGGACAGTGAGGCTCCGTGTCTCGTGCGTTTCGCTTCCAAGACTTATTCGCACCCCCAGCTCTATAGTACAACTCATCAGTTTGATAACTGGAGCAACCTATAGAGTGTTGGCACGATTTCCCAGGTATAACACCATCATCATCAGACGAATATGCTTCCTTCTGGGGATATGACGCTTTATTAGCGTTCTCAAAAGTCGCTCGTTCCAGTCTACGCTTTTGTGAGCGTAAAGACTTAACGGGCTCTTGCACTTCGACACGCAACCCGATGCGGTCGGCAATAGGGGTTTTCCCTTTGTTATTTTCCTTGGGGGGATTAGAACGACCCCCAGTCGGGTTTATCATTTGGGGACCTTTCAACGGACCCAATCGCTCTTTGATAGGTACTTTACCTCGATTCCCCGGTAAGGGACCGAGGCGACCTTTCAAAGGAACCCTGGATGTTGAAGGATCCGTGTTCTTACCTGACTCCGCCGGAGGTGCGGGGGCAAGGGGAACGGGACCTGGATTTGATGAAGGTTGGGCAGCAACATCTTCAGCTCTCATCTTAGGCGCTGGCTTTGTCTTTAGCACCCATACCTGCTTGAGCTTTGACGGGTTCTTAACCGTCTCTTCTTTCTGCATCTCCTCTGCTTTCTGTAGGAGAGCTCGGGCATGCGCAAGCAGTGCGCGGCGCTTCTTGATTCGCTCTTCGAGGGTTGAGCGAGTCCTCGTGACACGAACCCATTCGTTCGTTTCTGCCTTGGAGGAGGAGTTGGTTACGTACCGTTGTTGCTCTTGGCGCTGTCTGGATTTGAGATCTTCATTGTAGCGGATCCCGTCCATCGGCTCCAAAGCCTTGGCCAGCTGACGAGCAAGGCGTTGACGCCGTCTTTGGCGTGTCCTCTTTGACACAGCTGGAGCACCTTCAGTAGCCATCTTCTTGGCGGAGGAGAAGCCTAGATCTGCGATCTCGACCACGTTGGACGACGCGGGGACGCCACGTGGTGCGAGTGCAACGACGGCAAGGGGATCTTGGGTCTTTGAGCCGAGAGTCCCGCGAACGTTTCTGAAAGAGGATGCCTTCATGCGCCTGTTCGGAGAGGCGGATCTGGAGGAGGAGGAAGAGAGGTACTCTTCGAACTTTTGCTGATCGAACTCATATTCGATCTCTTCATTCACCCGGATCTTGAATGCCGGTTGCGTCACGACGGCCTCGGCAGCGAGGCCGTTGGCTCCCACTGTGGTCGCCAGCTTGTTTGCGGAGAAAGTTGTTGTATTCATTGCTGTATTCATTACAACTTTAGTCGTTACAATGAAAATAAAAAGATTGTCTTTTTATAAGACCTTTTACACAATGAAAACAAAAGGGTTACAACTCTTGTCAAAACAAACGCAAGATCCTGTTTTGCGGTCTCTTGCTTGCGTGGGTCTTTTGCCTGTGACGGGGACGTCAATATCCGTGGACTACCTGGCACTCAGATCTGTTCCGAAAAATCGGACAGAGCTTCGTCGATCCGCGTGAGATCTAGAAGCCTGAAGTGTCTATCTCGGCTAAAACGAGATATGTCTAGGAAAAGCCTAGACACCCCAGGGGTGTCTCGGCCAAGCCGAGACACCCCTGGGGTGTCTAGGCTTTTCCTAGACACCCCTGGGGTGTTTCGACTTTCCCGAGACACCCCGGGTGTCCCAACTCAGCCTGAGACGCTCCGTTGATTGTTTTCCCCGTAGCTTCTTCGTCCGAACTCGTATTTGAGTGATTCCAAGTGCGTTGGATGCTTGACGAAGAGTTCAATCCGCTCTGGTGGTTGGACTATCTGTAGAGTGATCGAGACATGAAGGGCATTGTCCTTTTTGTGACCATTGCCGGGTTCCCGATTGGTCCGGGTCTTCGTTGTTCCGAAATCCTATCAGCTCACGTAGTTCGTCGATTCACTTCAATCGTTTGTCGACGTCAATTGGACTCCTGTGGATCGGATAGTGACGTTCATCGTCACTCTTTAACACTGAACCGTTCGTGGAGACCTATAGGCAGTTTTCGATGCCTACAAGTCTACTTTCAGAATATAAAACATTTACATCAATGCATGGTGTATAGTAAGAGTTATACTCTCAGGAAACTACACCTATCAAAACTGCAGCAGAAAGATAGAGATTGCTATCTAGAATAAATTATTCATTTTGGGTAGTTAACACTCTACAAATGAGTTCATATTTGGTATATAAGTAATATGATGGATTAGCTTCCAAGTACCATGAGTTTCATCATCCATCACAAGTATTCATTTTGGGTAGTTATACACCTTGGTTAGTAGTTGCATGAGGCCAGCCAGTGTTCATATAGCTTTGATTGTTGCAATAGCCTCGACTCCTCCAGCAGCACCAAGACAATGTCTGATCATCGACTGAGAGTAAAATAAGATGATGAAATGAGAAATGGCAAATAATGCAGTGGGCTATCATGTCCACCCATCCTGAATGAAAGTTAAGGAAAATTTTAAGGAGAATTCCATAATGTTTTAAAGTTTGATTCAGTATTTATAAATCCACAATTTTACTTCAATAATTAGAGTGATATATTTGACAATCCATCTAATAATTTCTTGCTTTAGTTCCATTCATTTTTAGTTCGAACGCGTCCTTGAAAACCTTCTTGATGGCGTTAACCTTTGGCAAGTCTATGGCAAGTGTTGATGTTGATGACAATTAGCATAGTTCCCCTGAGAAATATGAGGAGTTCCTCATCCATCACAATTTAACATAGCACGAAAATAATACAACGATATGCAAAGATATTTGTTGTGCATGTAGGATTGCTCACATCTTCAGGGAGACTCCGACATCTTGCTTTTCTCTATGCAAGAAGAAAATATATGTTATAGACTTTTTTTTCTGTGGCCCATGTATTAAACCACCTTTAGTGACAATGGTTTTTAATCACCTATTTCTTTAAACCACCTTTTATTTTCTTTAAACCACCTTTTATTTTAAATAGCCACAATTTCTTTAAACCGTGTTTTAAACCACGGTTTTAGTGGCCACTTTTTAGTTTAGTTAAAAGATAGTTATAGTTTAATTATATTAAGTGCTAAATTCATATTGGTCAGTTTAGTTGAGAATAAATTGTCAAATAACCGCTCACGTGGATAGAACGTGGGATATTTGCTCTATTTAAGGTTTGATCCTCTCTCTAACCAGAACGTGATAAAAAATTTCTCTCTATTAAGAAAATTCGAAGAAAAAAAATCCAAGAGGACTAAGAGAGAGAAACTCAAGTCTTCAACGTCGTTCTTCTTGCAGTCAATTTCTCTTCAAGATTCGAATCATGGATCAAGGTACGCTCTCATAATTGAATTGTTCTTTGTGAAAATCATCTTGTTCTAAGGTCTTGGTATTATGATAATCAAATCAAAATTAAGTTTGATTTGCTTAAATTAAGAATTAGATTTACAGAAACTCCCAGACGATCAGAGCGATGATTCGGTCATATGGTGAGTGTCACGGGTTATTCCCCTCCCAGATGCTCTGCTACAATTGATGCTCCCCTCTTCCTTGCATAATCCAAACTCTCCATGATCTATGTCAAAATATACAGACTACTCAAGTTCCATTCTAAACTCTACTCTTATTTAAACTGGAAGTAACCACAAGCCTTAATTACATGCATCCCCATTGTCATCCCTCATCTTCTATATGAGCAGATAGACCTCTTTGCTGATTGGCAACATGCATTGTCTGTTTCATGTGATAACTCTTGAGTAGCTGACTATTCATGATGTCAGTCATATCTATAAGTTACTGCGAGTTTAATAGTACTGGAGATATATCTGACAATAATGTAGATAAACGTTGAAGCAGGGTAATGTGATTACCAGCACTCCAGCTCCCTCTCCCATGACAAACGCATCCCTACCCTTATATATCGCAAGGCCTAGAAGTCCTTTCAGGTTCACCATTCCTTTGTGAAAGTTCCCTAGAAGCAAGGAAGCCACCAATACCAGTTGGCAAAATTTCTGCTTCAGTACCTCCAGCGACCATAAAATCAGCATCTCCTCTCCTCATGTGGTTTGTGTCGCGCGCCTTTGCGGAAGCCTTGCACGAACTCACAACGAACCTGTGATCACGAGTAGAAGAAAGACAAACTCTTGCACAAATCCAACCAATAAAGCCAAATCAATCCAAACACAGAGATATACGTGGTTCGGCAATTTGCCTACGTCCACGGGGAGAGGATGGGGAGATTTCACTAAATCAAGGAGAGTACAAAGGGTTACACTCACACAAATTCTCTCAAACTAACCCTCAACCAAAGATCTCACCTTGCTCACAATATCTCCCTCTCACAATGCTCAAAAGATTCCTCAATCTCTGATATTTTAACCTCACAAATCGTTTCCCTATTTATACCAAAACAAAACCCCAATCAGACTGCAAATAGGAAACCTACGTATGCAAAAAACCCGTCGTAAGTCGACTTAACAGAGCTCACAAGTCGACTTGACAGAGAGAAAATCAACAACTGGAGAACACTTCATAAGTCGACTTAACAGACTGTTAAGTCGACTTGCCATAAGTCGACTTAACAGTCATGCTAAGTCGACTTGACAGAGGCTAAAATCACAATTCGGCTGCAGATCGTAAGTCGACTCGTGCACAGTGCATGAGTCGACTTATGCCAGTTTTTCTGGTTTTTCTGATTCTTTTCCTGATTTCTCCACAATTCTCCACCTCGGCGAATTTTGCCAAAAATGAGCCGACACCAAACCAAAAGAGAGGTGAAGATGATGTTGGAGACAACTTCCAGTAAGTGAAGGAAGTAGCTGGATTGATACCACCTCTGGATCTCAAGATCAATGTTGTTGTTAAGACTCTTATCTAAGTTTTTTTCTAGCCTCTGTTTTTTTGATGTTCTGATAACTATGCTTTTGTCGGGTAGTTAGAATAGTTGGTTTTGATGTTCTGGTAAAACTCAAGCTAGATGAAATTGCTAAAAAGAGAGGTGAAGATGATGTTGGAGACAACTTCCAGTAAGTGAAGGAAGTAGCTGGATTGATACCACCTCTGGATCTCAAGATCAATGTTGTTGTTAAGACTCTTATCTAAGTTTTTTTCTAGCCTCTGTTTTTTTGATGTTCTGATAACTATGCTTTTGTCGGGTAGTTAGAATAGTTGGTTTTGATGTTCTGGTAAAACTCAAGCTAGATGAAATTGCTAAAAAGAGAGGTGAAGATGATGTTGGAGACAACTTCCAGTAAGTGAAGGAAGTAGCTGGATTGATACCACCTCTGGATCTCAAGATCAATGTTGTTGTTAAGACTCTTATCTAAGTTTTTTTCTAGCCTCTGTTTTTTTGATGTTCTGATAACTATGCTTTTGTCGGGTAGTTAGAATAGTTGGTTTTGATGTTCTGGTAAAACTCAAGCTAGATGAAATTGCTAAAAAGAGAGGTGAAGATGATGTTGGAGACAACTTCCAGTAAGTGAAGGAAGTAGCTGGATTGATACCACCTCTGGATCTCAAGATCAATGTTGTTGTTAAGACTCTTATCTAAGTTTTTTTCTAGCCTCTGTTTTTTTGATGTTCTGATAACTATGCTTTTGTCGGGTAGTTAGAATAGTTGGTTTTGATGTTCTGGTAAAACTCAAGCTAGATGAAATTGCTAAAAAGAGAGGTGAAGATGATGTTGGAGACAACTTCCAGTAAGTGAAGGAAGTAGCTGGATTGATACCACCTCTGGATCTCAAGATCAATGTTGTTGTTAAGACTCTTATCTAAGTTTTTTTCTAGCCTCTGTTTTTTTGATGTTCTGATAACTATGCTTTTGTCGGGTAGTTAGAATAGTTGGTTTTGATGTTCTGGTAAAACTCAAGCTAGATGAAATTGCTAAAAAGAGAGGTGAAGATGATGTTGGAGACAACTTCCAGTAAGTGAAGGAAGTAGCTGGATTGATACCACCTCTGGATCTCAAGATCAATGTTGTTGTTAAGACTCTTATCTAAGTTTTTTTCTAGCCTCTGTTTTTTTGATGTTCTGATAACTATGCTTTTGTCGGGTAGTTAGAATAGTTGGTTTTGATGTTCTGGTAAAACTCAAGCTAGATGAAATTGCTAAAAAGAGAGGTGAAGATGATGTTGGAGACAACTTCCAGTAAGTGAAGGAAGTAGCTGGATTGATACCACCTCTGGATCTCAAGATCAATGTTGTTGTTAAGACTCTTATCTAAGTTTTTTTCTAGCCTCTGTTTTTTTGATGTTCTGATAACTATGCTTTTGTCGGGTAGTTAGAATAGTTGGTTTTGATGTTCTGGTAAAACTCAAGCTAGATGAAATTGCTAAAAAGAGAGGTGAAGATGATGTTGGAGACAACTTCCAGTAAGTGAAGGAAGTAGCTGGATTGATACCACCTCTGGATCTCAAGATCAATGTTGTTGTTAAGACTCTTATCTAAGTTTTTTTCTAGCCTCTGTTTTTTTGATGTTCTGATAACTATGCTTTTGTCGGGTAGTTAGAATAGTTGGTTTTGATGTTCTGGTAAAACTCAAGCTAGATGAAATTGCTAAAAAGAGAGGTGAAGATGATGTTGGAGACAACTTCCAGTAAGTGAAGGAAGTAGCTGGATTGATACCACCTCTGGATCTCAAGATCAATGTTGTTGTTAAGACTCTTATCTAAGTTTTTTTCTAGCCTCTGTTTTTTTGATGTTCTGATAACTATGCTTTTGTCGGGTAGTTAGAATAGTTGGTTTTGATGTTCTGGTAAAACTCAAGCTAGATGAAATTGCTAAAAAGAGAGGTGAAGATGATGTTGGAGACAACTTCCAGTAAGTGAAGGAAGTAGCTGGATTGATACCACCTCTGGATCTCAAGATCAATGTTGTTGTTAAGACTCTTATCTAAGTTTTTTTCTAGCCTCTGTTTTTTTGATGTTCTGATAACTATGCTTTTGTCGGGTAGTTAGAATAGTTGGTTTTGATGTTCTGGTAAAACTCAAGCTAGATGAAATTGCTAAAAAGAGAGGTGAAGATGATGTTGGAGACAACTTCCAGTAAGTGAAGGAAGTAGCTGGATTGATACCACCTCTGGATCTCAAGATCAATGTTGTTGTTAAGACTCTTATCTAAGTTTTTTTCTAGCCTCTGTTTTTTTGATGTTCTGATAACTATGCTTTTGTCGGGTAGTTAGAATAGTTGGTTTTGATGTTCTGGTAAAACTCAAGCTAGATGAAATTGCTAAAAAGAGAGGTGAAGATGATGTTGGAGACAACTTCCAGTAAGTGAAGGAAGTAGCTGGATTGATACCACCTCTGGATCTCAAGATCAATGTTGTTGTTAAGACTCTTATCTAAGTTTTTTTCTAGCCTCTGTTTTTTTGATGTTCTGATAACTATGCTTTTGTCGGGTAGTTAGAATAGTTGGTTTTGATGTTCTGGTAAAACTCAAGCTAGATGAAATTGCTAAAAAGAGAGGTGAAGATGATGTTGGAGACAACTTCCAGTAAGTGAAGGAAGTAGCTGGATTGATACCACCTCTGGATCTCAAGATCAATGTTGTTGTTAAGACTCTTATCTAAGTTTTTTTCTAGCCTCTGTTTTTTTGATGTTCTGATAACTATGCTTTTGTCGGGTAGTTAGAATAGTTGGTTTTGATGTTCTGGTAAAACTCAAGCTAGATGAAATTGCTAAAAAGAGAGGTGAAGATGATGTTGGAGACAACTTCCAGTAAGTGAAGGAAGTAGCTGGATTGATACCACCTCTGGATCTCAAGATCAATGTTGTTGTTAAGACTCTTATCTAAGTTTTTTTCTAGCCTCTGTTTTTTTGATGTTCTGATAACTATGCTTTTGTCGGGTAGTTAGAATAGTTGGTTTTGATGTTCTGGTAAAACTCAAGCTAGATGAAATTGCTAAAAAGAGAGGTGAAGATGATGTTGGAGACAACTTCCAGTAAGTGAAGGAAGTAGCTGGATTGATACCACCTCTGGATCTCAAGATCAATGTTGTTGTTAAGACTCTTATCTAAGTTTTTTTCTAGCCTCTGTTTTTTTGATGTTCTGATAACTATGCTTTTGTCGGGTAGTTAGAATAGTTGGTTTTGATGTTCTGGTAAAACTCAAGCTAGATGAAATTGCTAAAAAGAGAGGTGAAGATGATGTTGGAGACAACTTCCAGTAAGTGAAGGAAGTAGCTGGATTGATACCACCTCTGGATCTCAAGATCAATGTTGTTGTTAAGACTCTTATCTAAGTTTTTTTCTAGCCTCTGTTTTTTTGATGTTCTGATAACTATGCTTTTGTCGGGTAGTTAGAATAGTTGGTTTTGATGTTCTGGTAAAACTCAAGCTAGATGAAATTGCTAAAAAGAGAGGTGAAGATGATGTTGGAGACAACTTCCAGTAAGTGAAGGAAGTAGCTGGATTGATACCACCTCTGGATCTCAAGATCAATGTTGTTGTTAAGACTCTTATCTAAGTTTTTTTCTAGCCTCTGTTTTTTTGATGTTCTGATAACTATGCTTTTGTCGGGTAGTTAGAATAGTTGGTTTTGATGTTCTGGTAAAACTCAAGCTAGATGAAATTGCTAAAAAGAGAGGTGAAGATGATGTTGGAGACAACTTCCAGTAAGTGAAGGAAGTAGCTGGATTGATACCACCTCTGGATCTCAAGATCAATGTTGTTGTTAAGACTCTTATCTAAGTTTTTTTCTAGCCTCTGTTTTTTTGATGTTCTGATAACTATGCTTTTGTCGGGTAGTTAGAATAGTTGGTTTTGATGTTCTGGTAAAACTCAAGCTAGATGAAATTGCTAAAAAGAGAGGTGAAGATGATGTTGGAGACAACTTCCAGTAAGTGAAGGAAGTAGCTGGATTGATACCACCTCTGGATCTCAAGATCAATGTTGTTGTTAAGACTCTTATCTAAGTTTTTTTCTAGCCTCTGTTTTTTTGATGTTCTGATAACTATGCTTTTGTCGGGTAGTTAGAATAGTTGGTTTTGATGTTCTGGTAAAACTCAAGCTAGATGAAATTGCTAAAAAGAGAGGTGAAGATGATGTTGGAGACAACTTCCAGTA